CATACAATTTCAATCAGCATTTTCATTCTTAATTTCCGCGAAATTGTCCTCGTTTTTTCTAAAATCCTCGAATCTCTTAATATGTTTTGATTTGCACGAAAATTGCTTAATATTTGATTTTTTTTCCCGTTTTTAATTTATTATTTTTATTTAACAGAATTTTTTACTTTCCTGGAGCCTTAAATTGAACATGTAAAATTGATTAGATATTTAGGAGAGTGAATCTCAATAGCAAAATGACAAGAAAATAGTTCAGGGATAAGAGATAATCACAATCTTGTCAAGTAAGGTGGTCTTTCTACGGTAGGGTAATAGACTGATAGGATTACCTTCCGGAAGTCAGTAAGAGTACAAAAGAAATTGGAATCACGAAAGAAGGAAAATGTTATAAATCACATCTTTGACATAAAAATTGTTACACAGGCTATTGCACTGGGCAATGAATTTTCTACTGCCTTTCTAAATATCAAGAAAATTTTTCCTGCGCGGCTTGTTGTGATTTCTTAAATAGGGGTCAGTTTCTTAGAAGAGAGGGAGATAAGGCTTTTGTAATTGGTAGTTTGAATGTAGAATGTTTGAGGTTCACAGCAATTATTTCTAAAAAAGCAACGGTCAAGGAATTGCGTGTTGATGAAGGAAAATTGATCGAGATTCGGAAATCTATCTGAAAGTTGCAATTCTATGTTTGTGAACGCAGGAAGATCGTTTTCTAGGAAGTATAAAAATGTATTAAGTGATGAAAGACGAAGCATAAATGAGAATAATCTGACAATGTACAAGACTTTGTACCAAAATTCTGTTCATTTAAATAAAAATATTAATATTGCGCAATTTCTGTCGTTTGCATCATTTATATAGAAATTTTTTTTATGGTTAGAATCTGTCTAATTTTCGAAATCTCCTGCGAATTTCGGTTTTTTTTTTTCCCGCGACAAACTTGCAGCCCTACATTCACAACCATGTTATTAAATGTAAGTACCCAATCATAATTTTGAACGCAACATACACTTTCAAATTAATAATAAAAAATTTATCTTAAAATGTATGCAGTCTTAAGAAAAATTCTTTTTCAGTGGAGGAAGAGCCAAGAAAAGTATTTTTTAACATTTTGAATGTTTATCAAAATAGGAAGCTGTTGTATGATATGTTTGTTCAGAATTATATTTGCCTTAAATAAAATTCGGAACTAAACATATGTTTCAATTAAAAAATTTAGTTTTTCTAAATATATAAAAATAAATGACTGTGTATTGTCCTTCATACGCTGAAATCATCCGCCCAAAACAGGAGTTTCCAACTGGCCGCATCCGGCCCGCGAGGCCTTTTTTTGTGGCCCGCGAACTAAAACAAATTAGTTGTCAGTTTTTGCTGACAATTTTTGTACAAAACTCTGTATGGGTTTAAAATACTTTTCAAGTTAATAAAAACGTAATTTCTACGTTTCTGTGAAATTTAACATACCAACGGTACAAAGAAATTTATTTCTCAGGTTTTGCACCCAAGAAAATATTTATTCAAATACAAAAATAATTGTGTATGTTGCTCTTTTTTATTTAATTTTTTTATATTTTGTGAATATAAATTAGCGTGTGCGTATCAGAAGAAATTCTCCGATTTAACTCTTTGAAACCACTGATTTTGGACGAAATTATTTATTGCTGTAAATTTAAAATGTAAATATCTATTCTTTGGTGGTTGCAGCAGACAAACCTCAATTTTCTCATTGAATACTCTGTGTGTTACTATCTAGGTTTTAATAACAACCTTTTTAAAGTTTTATATCTTAACAATTAGATATGTGTTGCACATTAATTGTTAGGTGTACATTAAAGTTATTGTAGCCCGAATTTTAATTATTTATTTAATATTTTTTAAAATATTATTAATAACAATTAAATATTTTAAAAAATCTACTCCTTTTTGTAATTTGTAATTCAATACTTTTGTTTTGTACAACTTCATAAAAATCTAACAGTAATATTTAATGTTTCTTCAAACATAAAAGAGTCCTACAAAAAATTTTGATAAAGTTGCGGCCCGCCATTTGATTTGTGTTTTTAATTGTGGCCCCCGGCCTCAGGTAAGTTGGAAACCCCTGGTCCAAAAGCAGAGCCGGATTATACCTTTCGTAGGCCCTAGGCATAGCCATTTTTGGGCTCTCCCCTCCTTTCCCCTCTCCTCCCCTCTTTCAAAATATATGCTAAAATTTTCTTGCATATTTTTTTTAACATTTTTATTAATATGGATTTTAATTTACAAATTTGTTTATCGAACTTTATCTGCAATACCGACATACTGCCGATATTGCAGTTTATATTGATAATACCATTATGATTGGTTCGATTGATAACTATGTAAACACTTCACGTCAACAATACAGCAACAAACCAGCAAAGAAAACAGTGAAATTGATAGTGAGATTAATTACAAGAAATATTTATACTACAAATAGCTTCATAGTTTTCATGATACTACTATGATAACTAAGTGAAGGAAATTAACATTGTCAAAAGTAAATCTTTTGAAATTATTTATAAATAAATTTGCAAGGTAGGTTAAATGTTTACTAATAGAAAAAAA